GGGGGGGGGGGGGGGGGGGGGGGGGGGGGGGGGAAGGGGAGGGGTTTGTTTCTGATGGCCTGTGGAGGTTGAGTGAACTCAGGAAAGCTTTTTTTCAGGGTCCAGTCACCACAGAAGGTGGGTTATAGTTGTTTGATGGATGGCCCCTATGGGTTCTAGTGTGTGATGATACATGACAAGTAAGGGTGTGTGGTCAGAGGGAGGTTTTATTTCTGTATTTTAGCAGGGAACAGGAGAGTGGGGACAGAGTTTGGGGAGTGGGGACAGAGTTCTGTGACTGGGGAGTGGGGGCTGGGGTGCCAGTGGAGGCAGAGAGTCCCCTGCATCTGAATCCTCCCAGGATTCTCCCACCTCCAGAGGGAAACCAGCGTGTGCCTGCCCCAGGGCCGACCCCCGGCACAGGAAAACCCCGTGTGCGCCTGCCCTGGGGGCCAACTCCCCCGGCGCAGGGAAACCCCGCACGCACCTGCCCCGGGGCTGACTCACCCCTCCTGTACGGTGCAGGGAGCCGATGCTCTCTCGCAGTACACCCAGCAGAGCAGCTAGCGCTACTTCCAGAATTGCTGGAAGTGGCGCTAAGCTGCGGGACTTCTGTCCATCCCCGGGAAGCTGACACTACCTCCATTTTCACTGGAGATAAGTAGTGGGGCTTCTTGGGGGTGGGAGGGAAATGGGGGCGGGGCAGACAGGACGCCTCGCAATCAACCTGTTGGTGACCACCGATCTAAGTGATGGAAAATCCAAGGACATGGCGTTCATGTTAGAAATCCCGTTTTCATCTTCATGGCCTGTGAAAACCCATGGCCCACAGGACAGCTATAGAAAGGCAAGACCAGGATTAGGTAGCAACACTCTGCCCTGTAACACAGGCTGACTAGGTCACATTACAAACCAAGTCCAATTTATGATTCCATTTCAAATGCCTCCCTAAAACTGGGTTTTATGGTCACATGTACTGTCGATTTAGTCTTGAAAAAATCTGTCCACAGTGGCTGCCACAGTGGCGGTTTGTAGCCAGGGTGTATACCGATTCACGGAGAGCTTGGAAAACCTGTTTTACGGAGAAAAGGCCAGACGGGTGGCAGATTAATTCCGCACCCCTTCTGTTCATCTCGCTGACTCATTACACTTGGAAAGCTGGCTGCTGCTTCATGTAAACAGAGCACTGGCCTATTTAGCAGCTTGGAGGGAGTATTACATTTGCACA